CAGTAACACAAAAAGATTTTGATGTTAAGTGTTTATTAGGTAAAGGAGCTTATGGAAAAGTATTTTTAGTTGAAATGATTTCTACTCATGAAATATTTGCAATGAAAACTATTGAAAAAAAACAAATTATTGAATATGAAGAAATTGAACATACTATGTCTGAAAGACGTATCCTCTCTAAATTACATCATCCTTTCTTAGTAAATTTATATTATTCATTCCAAACACCAACTCATTTATTTTATATTATTGATTATTGTCCTGGAGGTGAATTTTATTATTATTTACAAAAGAATGGAAAAGTAAGTGAAGAAGATGCTAAATTTTATGCAGCTCAAATTTTACTTGCAATAGAACATCTTCATTCATCAAATATTGTTTATCGTGATATTAAACCAGAAAATATTTTAATTGGTGCTGATGGTTATCTTCGTTTAACTGATTTTGGACTTTCTAAAGAAAATGTTACAAAAGAAAATACTACAAGTACTTTTTGTGGTACACCAGAATATCTCGCCCCAGAAGTTGTTGTTGGTAAAGATTATTCAGAACCTGTGGATTGGTGGGGATTTGGTATTTTAATTTATGAAATGATTCATGGACATGCTCCATTTACTTCAGAAGATATTCAACAATTATTCCAAAAGATTATTCATGACCCTGTCTCTTTTCCAAGTGCTTCTTATCCATCAGCAGATTGTAAAGAATGTATTGTTATGTTATTAGAAAAAGATCCAGAAAAACGTTTAACAGACCCAAATCGTATTAAGTCACATTGTTGGTTTAAAGGATTTGACTGGGAAGGATTATTCCAAAAGAAATTATCTCCTCCTTTTGTTCCTGTTTTAAAAGATAAAACTGATACTTCTAATTTTAATGAAGATATTATTAATGAAACAGCTAAAATTGATGAAGGAGAAGTTGTTGATTCTAAAGATTATTTCAACGATTTTACTTATTGCAAATAAGTATTATTACTAACTTTACTTCTTTTCAATCATTATTTCAACTAATTTTATTTTTTGTTAAAATTATTTAAAATTCTTTTTTTTTTCTTAAAAGTTGTTTACTTTGAGTTATTTTTCTTTATTTTTGCTATTCTTAAATTGTTATTCTCTTATTAAAAACAAATTATAAAAACAATTTTTATTTTAAGATAATGTTATAAAAAGAATTAAATAAGAAAAAAATTCACGATCAATTTATTGGGAGACTTCTTGTTTCTTAATTCTAGCTTCAGCGTTAAGAACTCTAATATTAAGAATCTTAGCTCTTTGGATAATTTCTTGTCTCTTTTTAGCAGAAACAGCATGTGAAATTTCAGCAGCATATTTTCTGTTTTGCATCATAATCATTTCAAGATCAGTTGTATTACGAACTGGGAATTTATAAAGTCCACATGGAAGCATATTTCTAGTAGCCTTAGCACTTCCATATCCAATCTTTGGAAGAAGATTAGTTCCCTTGAATTTTCTTCTTAATCTATTATCAATACCTCTTGGAACTCTCCAGGATGCTTTAACACGGAGGAATCTGTTAGAATCAAATCTCTTAAAGTGTCCTGTATATTTCTTGACAATCTTTGGTTTTGTGACTGGTCCAACCATCTGCAACACAGATTGACTTCTTTCAACCCTAGTTCTTAATTTTCCTAAAAGTTTTAGTTTTTTTCTATTTTCTTTTTATAAAAATATTTTTTTTATTTTTTTCTTTTTTTCATATTTGCTATATATAACATCTATTAAATAAAAAATCAATAATTAATTGAGTTAGAAAACAAAAAAAAAGAAACTTGAAAAATGGAAGATTAAATATGCAGAATGTTAGTGTTGCTCAACTTATGCCATGTGAATATGAATCATGGGGAACAAAAGAAGGTGGTGGATATAAAAATTGGAAAAAAAGATACTTCGTTTTAAAAGATAAAAAATTATGGTATTTTGACAATAAAGATTCAGTAAGTGCAAAAGGATGTATTGAGTTAAGTGTTGATGCCAATGTAGAAGATGCGTCTGATGAGTTTAAAGGAAAGTGTGTATTAGCAATTAATTCAAAAGATAAAAAAGGAGATAGGAGATATCTCATTGAGGTTGATAACCCATCAACACTTATTGATTTTATTAAACATATCGAAAACTCAATTCATCCTGAAAGTACTAAAAGGTCTTATCTTGACTCATTAAAAACAAAGGGTATACCTGAAAGTATTATGTCTCCTAAAATTCAAACACCAATGGCATCTTCTCCAGCATCAAATAATAATGATGACCTTCTTATTAAACCAAAGAAAGTACCGTTAGGAATGAATCCTCTGCAAATGGCAATGGCTGGAGAAATGAAAAAAACTATTGGAGCACCAGACGCTTCTGTTCCTATTAGTTCTTTATCTAATAATCCCAATTCATCAAGTAATCAACCACCAGCAGTACCACCAGTAAATCCAGGAAGAAAAGCTCTTTCACAAAAAACAAATCCATTAGTAGAAGAGAAAAGAGAAAAACAACAAGCGTTATTAAGAGAAGGAGATTCTGATGTTATTTATGTAAATAGACAATTACCAAGTTATCTTGGAAGAAATAATATAAATCCAACGAGAGAGTATTTTACATTTTTAACTGGTGATAAATCAAAAGTATTAGATTATTGGATCTCATCTGTCCCTTCACAAATTAAACTTGAAAAGAATAAAACAATAAACTACGTAATGTCTGTTGCAAGTGACTGTGATTATGTGACTTATAAAGTGAGTGGTCCACAAGAAAATATGGGAATAGGAATTGCTGATTTCTTTAGTCTTGTAGAATCTGCTTCTGATGGAATTGATAAAATGAATTTGTATGGAAGTAAAATATGTCCAGAACGTATTGGGTCTTATATTCAACTTTGCTCTTCTGAAAATGCAATTGAAGGTGGGTATATTTTCTGTGGAGATTTATTATCTTCTGAAGCATTTAACATGATTGATTCTGGAAATGCATTAATTGTATTAAACCAATTTGAAAAAGAATGTAGTAATATTAAAATTATTACTTCAGTTGAAAAAGATATGAGTTCAGTTGAACCTCAGTTTACTCGTTTTACATTTGATATTTATGGTAAGAACACTGCCTCTAAAATTGAAGTTATTAAATCTGTATTAACAAAGTTTGGTTGTGGGGATAAAGGTGATCAGTTAATAGCAGTTTTCCAGTCCTTTGATAGTGACTGTTCATTGTCTGTATCTTTACTTTTGACACCAAATGATTTAGCACAGTTTGTTTTTCATATAACGTTTATTATAAGTAACGAATTTACCAAATAGAATATCTATAATTATTAACAATCCAAAAGCTGTCCAAGTAAGTGTCTTCTTAGGATTAGATGAAAATAAAAATCTTCAAATTCATAATGAATTAGTTTCTTTATATGGACCACCAAAAGCAGTTGAATGTGTGTTAATAATGGATGGTTTCAAAATGGGAATTTATAAACAAAAACTATTGGTGAATGTGATTTATGATATTGGTTGTGAAAGTTCAGAATAAAGAAATTTCATTTTTCAAATCACAAATTTTTGTTTTTTATTTTTTAACTAAAAAGAGAACTCTAT